TTAAGATGTGAATATTAGAAAATAATTTCTTATTGCACACTTTTCCACAAAATTTCAAGCTTAAACTTATAATTACTTAGAGTATATTTTCATTGGTCAGTTAGAACAAGTTCGATTATATTATATTAAGCCATCCAACCCGTCGTTATCCATAAGGCACGCTTGTGATTGTGCTAGCAATTCTCAGATATCGATGTGCGTATGTCATTATCAGTTTTGGGATTTTGATTTAATGGCATCTTTTTTTTTGGTGTACAATTTTGTTACTAATACATGTGATACTGTATTTATACAAATTATTATAAAGTTATTGGAATGTTTAGAAATGTTTGGTTAGTAAAATTTAATTAAAATATTGAACTAAAGATCATCAATAACAATTAATGTTATTAGTTATTTGGTTTATTACATTAATAAATAGGTGTATACATATTATTAATAGTCATTATATCTTAATAATAATGGTAAAAAGAAAAAGAAAGCGATACATTTGTTAAATGTGTGAGCTAGTTGTTGCTATACAACTGTGTGTTTTTTTATTATTATCATATAACATTGCTTCTCTTAGAAAAACCAGCTATTTTGAAATGTTTTTGATATTTGGTTCCAGCACTTCGTTCATGTGGGAGGAGGTGTTGTGTTTTCTGAGATCGTTGATGTGTTGATAGTTAAGAGATAATTTACTGTAAGCGTAACTCCACAACATAAGCAGAGGAGGATATTTTTTGGTCATATGACATTTATGAGTTGAATTTGTACGACCAATCCAAAGATGGTTATTTATCTTATTTTGAGATTAGGATACTGCCAATATTTTGAATTGTATTTTGTACGTTGATTTCTCCAATGCAAACATCATAGGCGTGCGCACAGGGTATGCAGGGTATGACGCTGCATAGTCTGCGGCTTTATGTGAGGGGCCCATATATGATATACATATTAGTATATAGGTACTTGATCAAATTTTCTTTAAATAAATATAATTCAAATTTCAAACTACTTATTTCTACAGCGCGTTGTTTAATATTCTACTGTAAAACTATGTGATTTCAGATTCCGAGGGAAGCAAAAAAGCTAAGTAGTATATTTGCAAAAACTTAGATTGTAAATTGAATCCTATATGTGTTAAAAAAAATGTTTAACGGCTTAGAATTGTTTTTTAGAATAAATTAAGGAAAGATTAGAATTTGTGAGGGGGCCCTATTTTCCTTATTGCATAACCTGCGAATAAAGTCTGCGCACGCCTATGGCAAACATACTATAACATAACTTATATAATCGAACACACATATTTTGTTTTATGTTAACAAGAATCTTAAATTATATTATCTACATATATATATGTTGTAAAAAAATTATATTTCAAAATAAATTATACAGTTTGAATTTCTGTTAGTTATTTAATTTCAAGTTATTTATATTATATTTATATTTAATCAAAATATGTGCCAGATTAAGTGCGTTGCTTCTGTTTGCTTTGTATACCSTCCGTCGATATCCAGCTTTGTGCTACGTGCAAGGGATAAGACCCACTATAACTGCTTTTAATTTATACTAACTAAACACGCAGCATACTATTACCGGGTTAGCGTGTAGTAAAACAACAAAAACGATAGTATTATCACACGTCTTATAATATTGTATATCTTTTTCACCGTCGCACATTGGGTTGGAAGGTTGGACGGTCGTTAAAGGTGTCGTTCACAGGATTTATATTTGTGTTGAAAAATGTGTAGAATTGTAATGTGTTGATCTAAATTAAAAACCATTTAGTTGAATATTATTGCGTAACGTTCGTGTACTCGTATTTATTGGATATTATGTGGTGTATATGATTCGTAATTGAATAAAATGTTTTCTTTAAGTAACACGACGATAAAAAAATAGTACAAACATTTATGACGATGAATTATACTTACATTTTATTATTAAACATACATTAATAAAGTTATCAGTTATTAT